CAGCGCGACAAACACACCGTAGATGAATTCAGTCTGAAATTAGACCTCACGTTGTCATTCTGTAGTTTGCAAAGTGATCTTTAGACAGAAAATAAAGGAACAGGAGAGCGGCCGACCATGCTTCAGGGCTGAAATACAGCTTTCTGTCAGCCGGCTGCCATCAATTTCACTTTCTTCTTCAGACACATCTCTCTTCATAATGGTTCATTCATTACCTCCAATGGCTGTTGCAGATTTATGCTTTGGCTCAGCCCGAGCTTAGACTGCACTTTGCCAAGGGGACAGCTGGTAATACTTTAATATATAGAGACGTAGGCATCATCATTACTCAGCAGGATTAAAAGCTGTTGGGGTTTTTTTTCTGTCAAACTCACAGATAGCCCAGCTGTCCTTTTTAACATCTTTTGAGCTCTTATTGTGTCTAAAATTGCTCTTTTGTTTCCTCATTCATTGATTTGAACTTTGTAAACTCTGTAAGGCTGGGGTGTCAAAAATCAGCCTGCCAAAGGCTCCAACCTGGGCCACTGAGCTGCTTTGGAAAATGTGAAATAGGACATAAATGATCGGTATCGAGAGGCAAGTAAACAAACACCTCCGCAAGCAGCTCAGGTATGTGACTGATCATCACTGCCGACCTGAGGGTGTTTTGGTTCAGGGTGGAAATGCCTGATGATATTTGGACACCACCTGACGACACCTGGTTGAAAGCTGCAGTCGCTTACAGCCACTTAACTCAACTTTTAGGTGTATTTTATAAGTTTCCAACTGTATTTTCATCAGCTTTGCAGGTTTTCTCCTGAAGACCAAACCATTGGTCATTCATACTATCCCAATGTAAATAACAGATAAACAATTAAATAACACAATGTTTCTGTTTTTCCACTATCTACTGTAGAAATGTATGTTTACAGTGGCTTCACAGTAGAACAAAAAACCCCAAAACAAATTTAAAATAAAAACAAATTGAAAACCTTTTCATTTTATTCTTATAGGACACTCGGGACAATGAGCTATCAGAACTTTTGTCATTTTACACATTATTTCAGTTTAGATTTCTTACAGTTTCCCCCCAAAGAGTCGTCCTGACACACTTTCATTACTACAGCATCATTTCTTGATCATGTAGAAAAATGTGCTGCTGAAATTGCTTCTTTTCCTTATATTAAAATATCTCAGGGATTAAATTTATGGTTAAAGTTCTTTACACCTTTTTACTCAAACTGCTTTTATGATGTAAAATGAGTTTGATACACCGGCTGAAGGTCTCGTGGGGAACCTTTGAACCACCAAGTTGGTCTGGAGTTGCACAAATTAGTGCAACTTAGTA